CGGCGGCGGGTGGTGGTGGCGGGATCATGGACCTCCTTGGCGGCGGCAGCGGCAGTGGGGGCGGCGGCGGGCATTCTGTGAGTTTGGACCAACGGCTTGCTTCTGAAGGGGGTGCTGGTCGGGCGCCCCCCTGGGAGCTTTGACGCCGTGCATCGGCAAAGTTGAGGCTCATTTTGCAAGGCGGCCTGCTGCCTAGAAGCGCTGGACTGGTGTCAAGGACATGCGCTGCACGGCAGCCCCCTCACCCCCCGCCAGCCTCCGCCCATGCGCGCTCACGTACGAAGACTCAACAATCCACCCTCGACCCTGCACCCTGCGCATGTGCGCCCCCCCGACCCCTTCCCCCCAAAGGACGCCCTGGGCGACCTCCTCGGCGGCGGCCCCCCCGCCCCCGCGCCCCCGCCGGGCGGCCTGGCGCCGATCGTGGCGTTCGACAAGGGCGGCCTGCGCGTGGCTTTTGCGTTTGAGAAGCCCGCGCCAGAGAACCCGGGGCTGACCACTATTGTGGCGACATACACCAACAGCGGCCTGGAGGACATCGAGGGTTTCACGCTGCAGGTTGGGGCCTGGGTCGGTTTCTGGGGGAAAGGGGTCGGACTGCACACAGCACGGGATGTGGATGCGTGGCGGCGTGCATGTGGAGCGGGCGTTGCGGGGCGGGCGATGGAGGACGCAATCCAGGGCTGCTGCGCGCGCGCTTCTGTATTCGTCGGGGCGCGCTGCACCTAGCAAGGGCTGCTGTTTGGAGCGTCGCGCTTTGCGCGCTGTATCGCCGGCCTGAAGCCCCTCAAACCAGTGGCTATCGCGGGTAGCCCTCCGTCTTACCGATGCACACGCGCGCCCTCGGCTGCAGGCGGCTGTCCCCAAGTACATGCAGCTGCGCCTGGAGCCCGCCAGCGCGACGCTCCTGCCAGCCCTGGGCGCCGCGCCCGCCACGCAGCGCATGCACGTGATCAACTCGATGCACGGCGCCAAGGCCGTGGCCATGCGCCTGAGGCTGGCATACACCCTGGGCGGGCGGCAGGTGCTGGAGCAGGCGGAGGTGTCAAACTTCCCAGAGGGGTTGTAGGCGGCGCGGCGCGCGGCTGGGCTTGGCGCGGCCGGTGCCGGATGGCGCACGCAGAGAAGCCGTCTTGTAATCTAGGTTCGGACCCAGGGATGTAACCGCAGCCGCTGCGATGTCAGCCTTGGCAAAGTGTGCTGGGGGGGGGGTTGCTGCTGAACGGCTCCGGGGGGGCACGCTGCTGAATGTTGTTTGTGCAAGGAGCGGCTTCAGGGGATTTGCCTGCGCTGGTTGCCGGGGATGGTCGACGGCCGCCAAGCAGGGCTCGCCTGCAAAGCGCCATGGTCATCTGCGGCTTGTGCTACTGCCCCGGACTGATAAGGGGTGCCACGCGCTTGCGCCACCTGTGCCGGGCACTGAAGCATTTGGGGCGGGTGGATGCTGAGGGGTCGCTGTCGCAGGCGTCCAAGTTTGACTTGGCCCACAACAACATACGATGCCAGCAATTCTACGATGTGGTGAATTCTTGCGGCGCTTCTTTTTTTCAAGTTGCACCTACGGTTGAATGAGTCTGAGTGGGCGCGGTCCCGGCAACTCGCACTGGTGGCCTCAACGAGCCTGAAAATAGGCACTCGTCTACTTAAAAAGTCGAAATTTGTACCACGGCATTTTAGGAGTGCACGATCCCTCCTGGGCTGGTTCTCGCCCTGACTTTCCCACCCCTGCGGGGGACTCAGGTCCTCGGCGGCCTGGGATCGTGAGCCAGCAACTATGAACCTATTAGGTAGCCTTTTGCTGCTGCTGGCGGCCGCGGAAGCATCCGGCCAAAGCTGGTGAGCGCGAGTTCGCGTCGGGTTGGCCGGCCCACGCAGGCGTGGCGAACAGACCCCCCTGTTCCAGCCTCCCCTGAGGCTTGCGACCATTTACTAGGAATGTAATGAGACATGCGCACCGAATCACCTGCTGGGTAGCCCATGTGTCGAGCTCGCGCTTGTCTTCTCGGCGCAGCGCGCAGTGCAGTGCCCGCGCAGTGGACGAAGTGCAGAGACATTGCAACCCACGCGGGGCGGGCATGGAGTCACTCGCGCCCTCTTCTATCAATGCTGCAGGCAACAAGCAGCAGTCGTGCAGCCAAAACCCATGCAGTCGCGTGCATACCCGCGGCGGTTGCTCGCCGCGGCGAGCACGGCGCCGCGCCAGCTGCGGCAGGCCGCCGACAGCACTGGTGCCAACAGCACCGGTGCCAACAGCACGGGTGCCAACAGCACTGCCGGCACCAATGGCACCGCCAGTGCCAACGGTTCCGCCAGTGCCGGCGAATCAGCCGCCGCTGAGCAGGCGTTTGCAACTCTCATGTCCCCTACTGCGCTGGCCAAGGCCTCCGCCGGGGCGGCCAGCAAGGACGGCGCCGCCGTGCAGCTGGACGGCAGCGCGTCCACCCCCGTCTGGGGCACCACCCTGACCAGCTATCAGTGGGTGGCGCAGCAGACCGCAGGCGGCAGCGCAAAGGCAGAGGCCAGAGGCGTGGATGTTCAGGTGATGCTTCCTGCTGGCGACTGGGATATCAGGCTTACAGTGCTCGACAGTAAGGGGGGCAGCAGCAGCGACACAACCAAGCTCACCATAAATCTGGCCTCGGCAAACAGCAGCAGCAGTGGTGGTAGCAGCAACAGCAGCAGCAACAGTGGCGGCAGCAGCAACGGCACCACCACCACCACCAGCACCAACAGCGGTAACAATGGCAGCAGCGGCGGCGGCGGCGGTGGCAGCGGTGGGGCCAATCCAGCGTCGCCGCTGTCACCCGGCAATGCGTCCTCTGAACCTTTTGGCAGGTTCCTGCCTCTGGTGCAGCCGACACCAACAGTGAACAGCAGCATCGGTTCGGGCGCCCCGGCGGTGGCGGCCACGTCTGCCGCCGTTGGGTTGTCCGGCTCTGCCGGTGTGACGTCCCCGGCAGCCGGCGCATCTGTTTTAACAGGGTCTGGTTCAGGCGCTACTGTTGGGTCCAATGCGCCTGGGTCTACTACCCCGGTGACAGCCCTCGTGCCCACCCCAACATACGTGTACATACCCACCCCCGCTGGACCCGTCTCGCCGCTGGCGCCGGCCGCGCCGCCGCCCAGTACGGCCGCCTCGCCGCCACCGACGCCCACGCCCACGCCCGCGCCCACACCGTTGCCGGTGCCGACACCCGTGGCGGGGACGCCTGCAGCGTCGCCGGCGCCTGTCTCATCGCCGGTCCCCTCGGGCTCATCGCCAGCACCTGCGCCAACGCCAGCGCCCACGCCCACGGCGGGGCCAACGCCCGTGCCCACCCCTGTGCCTACCCCTGCGCCTACGCCTGTGCCTACGCCCGTGCCCATGCCCGTGCCTACGCCAGTGCCTACTCCCGTACCCAACCCTGGCAACTCTTCGCCGCCCCCGCCGCCGCCAGCCACGCCGCTTACCCCGTCACCAGCCAGCCCGCCCGCCAACCTGGTTCCCGTGCCGCCGGCAAAGCCGCCCACGACGCCGCCAGTGGCACCCCCGCCGGCAGCTCCGCCTGTCGCGCCACCGCCCGCAGCGACGCCGTCCCCATCGTCTCCGGCGGCGCCAGTCCCCGGCGACACACCGCCGGACGACGGTCCGAATCCGGAGCCGTCGCCGTCGCCGTTCCCCTTGGCGCCCGGGGAGAAGCCCTACGCACCGATGCCGTTTGTCCTTGGTGAGACACCTCGCAAAGCTCGCCCTGAGCCCCACGTCCAGCCCCTTCCCTCCCCTTCACTGTGCAATGCGACTCTCTAAGTGGTCCGTTCTGGCCGCTGGGCCGTTGCAGGTCGAACGCCTGGTCAGCAGCGCACCCCTTAGCGCATTGTGCAGAACTCCAACCCCTAACCTCCGATTATGGATCCCCCTTCCCTCCAACATCCCTTCTGCTTTTTACCAGATATTGACAAGTACTGCGCCTCTGAGGCTGCAGTCCCAAAACCCAAGCCAGAGTGCTTCAAGTTCTGGTGAGACAACCGTCCCTGCCCCCATCCTCCTCTCCCCTGCACACACGCTCATGCACACGAGCGCGCACACACACACGCGCCGTGCACGTGTGCAGACACACACACTCACACTCACATACACACACACACACGCGCACACACACACACACGCACGCGCGCACTTTCACACATATACACACAAACACACAGCTCACAAGGTTACACCACCTCCGCCCCTGGACCTGCTGTGAAGTCCACCCTTGACTCGTCCTGGCCTGCTGAGCCTCCGCCACTGCTGCGCCTTTAAACCATGGAACTGCCTTGAACCCACCCCTCACGCGCCCGCCACCCTCCGCGTCCGACACTCTGCCGACTGCCAGGTGCGACCAGAAGGCCAACCTGCAGAACCCGGTGTGCGACATGCTGTGGACGTTCTGCGACGGCAACGGGCGCAAGAATTGGGACCTGCCGGAGTGCACGCCGCCCTGCGAGATGCCCGACAACCAGAGGAAGGACAAGCGCTGCCAGCCGGACGCGCAGCGGCGGAGGCGGTGACAGGAGGCCGGGCCGGGCGGCGTGCCGGCTCGCCCCTTTCCTGGGCGGAGCTGCAGGCCGAGGCGGCGGGCGCAACAAGCGGTTGAGCGCTGCACAGCTCAGTGCTGCGCGCTCGGCGATCCTCCGTTGCTGCCGCCCGACCCACGCAACCCTGAAGCTAGCCTGCACCGCAGCAAAACGCATGCTGGCTATTCTTTGTCATCCTCTGCAGCACTCGCTTTTACCCTCATTCTTTGGTATTGTTTTGTCGGAATGTCATTCCTGACCTTGACTTGAGCTTAGTCTCATTCATTTACCATACAACCTACAGCATATGTCTGGCGGCAAGTACTTTGAGCCCATTCGTCAACATCTGTGCCGCGCTGAGCGCGCTCCGGCTGCCGCCAACCGTGGTGCATGTCTGTGCCCTTCCATTCAAGCCCACGCGCCCTCTGCCTTTGCCCGGGATCGCTGGCTGGCTTTGCTAGGGGCCCTGTCAAGGCCCTCACGCATAATCACCTCCAGCTCGCCCTGCGCCACAGCGGTTTGGCGGCTGGGCGTTGCTGTGGCGCGGGGCAAGCAGGTGGAGGTTAGCACCAACCCTCGCCATTGTCTCGTCTGCCCTTGTCCACGGGCAGCTTCCCCACTCTTCTGTGAGTCAGAAGCTGCCTCCCCTGTCCCTGACAGGCTGGTGTGCCTGCGAGGCTAGCCCTCGGCAAAAACCAGCAGGCTGGCGAAGCGCAGGTGCAGCTGTGCCGTGTGCACAGTATGTACAGGTCCCCGCCTCGTGGGTTAATGTGCGTGCGCTGCGTCGGCTGGCATCCCCGCTGCATCCCAAGCACAGCTTGTCTTGTTGGTTGTTTTTGGGGTGTAGAGAAGGCGGCACACCTGCCCTTGCAGCGTTTTGCATCACTTGGCGCAGCTGAACAGCTATCCAAGGTCCTTGCGCCCTACAGAGTTTGCAGTCGCTCACTGCCTGGAATCACTAGATGTTCCCTGCCTGCAATATCTTCATCAACGCAAGCCGATCTCTTTGCCTGCCCTGAATCCCTTTGTTCTTTATGATTGTTTACAACAATTGTTTGGAGAGCGCGGCATGCGTGCCGATGCCCCACTCCCTCAAAGCTTCAATGTAAAAATCTGGGCGGCGTGTCTGCTTGTGTAGAGCGCCGGGCAAGCGCCATCCACATGCCAGCAGCCAGCACAACCATGGCCCTGGAGCATAGACATGTGGGCCTTGTCACGGTGAAAGGGAAAGGTAAGTGCAGGGGGTACACAAAGGAGGAGGACAGGACCATTGGGATTTAAGGACGGTGTTAATGGAGGAGTAAAATCTGACAGGGGTGAATGTGCAATGGCAGCAATGAATGGGTACATGAATGACCGCTCCAGCAATCGACGGCACAGCGTTGAACGTGGCTTCAACGGTGTTATTAACAAAAAGCCGCAAGGCACAGGACACACGGCGTCACCTAATCGCCGCAGCCGGCCTGCAGCGGCCCTGCCAGGCCCTCGCGCGCCGCGCGCACCGCCGCTGCGAGTCCCTCCTGCGCAGCCGCGATTGCGCGCAGGTGCTGCGCCATGTCGGCCAAGACGCGCCCGTCCACTGTGAGCGCGAGCACCGCTGCTTCAAGCTCCAACCGCAGCTCATCCAGGGCGCGGCCCCGCAGGGCCAACGCGGCGGCCGCGACGCGCGCCGCGGCCGCCGC